GCCAGTAAATGGCGAGGTCCCGGTTTGAACCAGAGCTTCGGGTTTCCAAGGCCTCTCCTCTCTGCTACGCTGTTATTCAGTAACAGTGCATTAGCAGAGTTTGAGGAACAGTCTGTTCTTAGGAGCAGCAACAAAACCCCCCATTTTCTTCTGTCAATTGCCTTTCCTCCAGGTAAGGAAAGCAGCGAGGCTTGTGTTCCCTTCCCTGCAGGGGCTGCAACACTGGGCCCTGGGATGTCAGGGCCTTCGAAGGTCAGTGTCCGCCTGGGAAGGGAAGAGCTAGAAGGAATGGGGATTGCTCTAGACTGAGCTGTGCCCGGCTCCTCTGGGGGCTGTAACCTCCCCAGGACAGTCTTTGTCCCTCTGTTCCCGGTCTCCCCTGGCCCTGACGGGTGGGGAAGGAGGAAGGTTACAGTGAGGAGGGGAGACTGTCTCTCCTTGCCCTTTGTTCTGGAGGATCTGCTGGCTTGGAAGACCGCACAGGGTAAATTCCCTGACCGTGAGATCTGCAAGCTGCAGGGTCCCCGGGGAGGGCCGGCCCGGGGCTCTTTCGAGCTGCAGCTGGAAACCGGGGTTGGATTTCAACAAGCGGGGCTGGGGGAAGGCAGCCCGCCTCCTCCCCGGTAGTGAGGGAGCAGGCCCTTCCAGCCAGCGGTGCCGACAGCTTCCTGTCGAGAGCTGGGGGCCCACGTGACCGCTCCCCACACGTCGGATTAGGGGGTGAAAGGCCCAAGGAGGAGGGAGAGCAGGAGGGGCGTTCGGGTGCTATCTCCTGGGTTGGGGGCTGGCTGAGGGACAGAAGACTTCTGCCGGCTCCTCGTCACATGGTCCAGCCAGTCCCAAAGAGGGAGCCTTGGCACCGCTTGGGGCAAGGGGCTGTCTGTTTAGAGTCCCCTCCCCCAGCCTGGCCAGACACATCCCTCGGTGCCTGATGGGGAGGGCATGCAGTAGCCACAGACTGGCCTGGTGCAGGGAAGAATGGGGTCCAGCAGGCGACAGGGAAAAGCATGTGGCTGGGCTGAGGACTACGGAGGTGCTCTGACCTCCCCGGCCTTCCCCTACTCCTCGAGCTAGGCCAGGTCCAGCCAGGGCCAGAGAACGAGGTCTGTTGCTGGAGCCATCCTGACAAGGACATCAGGTGTGGTCAAGAGATTCCTTGTTCTGCCCCAAAAGCATTTATTGAGCACCTACTAGGTACAGAAGTGGGCACGGAAATAAACCAGACTCTGACTTGAGGTAAAATCTGAGGGCTATATGGACCACCCTTGGGGTTCAGATGGCTTCCTGGAGGAGAGAGAAGCCAATAGGGAGTGAGGTCCCCAAGGAGCCAACTTAGAGTGGGTTTCTGGGTACAATTCCGCATCCCACCTAGTAGGCACAGCACCTCCCTCTGTACTCTGTCCTGCTCCTACCCGCTAAGATGTGGCCTAGAACACCCAGGGCAGTGATGGTGAATCTTTTAGAGCTTTCCATGATACAAACAGCCTGCTGCAGCATGCATGTCACGAGTTTGCCGCCACTGCCATAGGGTGTGGTAGGCAGAGGGGCTCAGCAGGCCAGGGCCGCAGGTGGGGCCTCCGGGGGAGCTGTGTTCTCTTCCCCTCCCTGGTCTGTGGTCCTTGTGAAGGGTGCTGGGATGTCAGGAGAGGAGGCAGCCGTGATGACCAAGAGCCCCGGGGTCAAAGCCCGCCCCACTGCAGCTCACTGGCTCCTGAGCCCGAGTGCTTTCTGTCAAATGCCTCCTCGGGCCACCGAACCCTTGGGCTCTTCCCTGTAGGGATTTCTGGGGCTGCTCTGTCTCCCCTGTAGGTGACTGTTGTTCCAAGTGCCATCTCTATTGTTTACACAGCCCAGAGTTCCATGGAGTTAGAAAAACATGTTTTCCTTTCTACTCAAGGTGCTACAAAAAACAGCCGGCCTGAGGAGGGGCCGTGCGTGCCCTTACTCTTCCGGGCTCATCCGAGTTCTGTAGGCTTCTCCGTCCAGGATTCTGCTGGTTACCGTCTCCCCAGAGCTGGCTCAGCTTTGAGGCCCAGCCCAGGGCCTGGAACTCTTGCTGAGAGGCCTGTTTCTAAGGATGGAGTCATCCCTGCTCGGGGTCCTGCAGGGTCTGCAGTGCGGCCACCAGGTGCCACTTTGTCTGAGAGCCCTAAGGAAGATGAGGGAAGCGGATGCTTGGGAATGTAGCTGGCAAGACAGTGACCAAGCAAAGGAGAGGACAGGAGAGCAGGCAGAAGGCAATCCAGCTCACCCACGGGAGGACCGAAATCTCCGTTTTTAGCCAGCATGCTCTGCCCTTGGGCTTTCTCTCGAGCATCTTTGTTTCTTCTCCACAGCAAAGTTCTCACTTTTCTCTCACTTAGTTCAATAGCTGTCCTCTTGCAGGGGTAGAGGTCTGGCTGGCCGCTAGCTCTGCAGATGGTTCTTCAGTGTTTCCTCCTGAGAACTCGGTTCCAGCCTTCTTACTGTTTTCTCTTCTTCCCTTCTCACCCTTCTCCTTTTCTAACCTGCAGCCCCTGTACACCCAGCACTTTCTCCCTTTGGGTCTCTGAGGCTTCTCCACTCATACCTCACCTGTGGCTCTTTCCTGTCCATCCGGCGACAAGAAATACGTCAAGCCACCTCAGTTCTCTGTTCTCTGGGCCTCAGTTTCCTTGTCTCTAGAATGACAGAAGTAGCAGGTAGGTGTGGGTTGCCTGACAATTGGAGAGCCCTTCACCCCAAGCCTGGAAGGGGCTACTTATGAATGTCCTGGTGCCTAAGCAGGTGTTTCAAGAAAAGACTGCCAAGTATGTGCACTAGGACCCCAAAACTTTCCACCCCAGGCCAGCCCAGGGTGGAGGGGCAATCCACTACTGGTACACATTGCTGCAGGTCAAAAGACAGGGGGTGCAGCTCAGTGGTAGAGCACTTGTCTAGCATGTGTAAAGCCATGGGTTCAACCCCCAGGACCCCCAAAGTAGATGGGATGGGGTGCAGCAGAATGGGGGAACCCCAGTGGGAAAGGGGGCAGCAGGATGGAATGGAACGAGCCTTCTGCCCTCCACTAGTTCAAATATTCTTGAATTCTGAAAAATTCTCAAATGTTTCTGAGCCAAGAATGCCCCAAAGGAGTGGCTCAGTGTCTGGGGTTACAGAGACTTTGTTACTTCAGCAAATCATACTACAAGCCATTTACTGGTTTAATTTAATTATTTATGATAACACTTCAGAGTAAAAACTACACTTGTCAAAATAAAGGGGACTTTGTGCCGCAGTGACCGAGATTTTATTGGTGCATTACCGAATGCACCGAAACCTGGTAATCGGCACCAGATCTCCCTGCAACTGGGGCAAATCAGCACCGAGCGAGGAGGACTGAAATGGATTACTGATTCCTGGGGGAATTATTGTAAGCTATTTGAACAAAGGGGCTTCGATTCCATCCGCCTTCTCTTGTTGCATCTCCTTCTTTCCCCCAAATAAGCTGATTTCTATACACATTGGACTGTTTATATGTCCCATGTAGATAACCTCCCTTCCCTTACACATGCAGTACCCTCTAGAATGCCGTCACTGTCCAAAGGATCCCCATCCCAAACCTGGCCACACAATGATTCCCCTGAGTATTTAAGAAGGCGTTCAGATGCCTGGGCACCTCAAGAGCTTCCACTGAGCCTTCTCCCCTCCGTGGAGGCCTCCAATGTCCCTACCCTTCTGAGCACTTCCTCCTGTGGTTCAGCAGCCTTGACTCTCTTCCTGTGGCAATGAATTCCTGGAGGATGGGTCTTGACCTTTTACCTCTGAGCTTAGAGGGAGCTCAGCGATGGGTGGCTGGTTGAGTGTTGGGTATGTTGCAGAACGAAGAGTTTATCAGAGCTGTACAGATAGAGACTTGGGTGCCAACTCCTGTCCTCACCCAGCCCTGAGTCCCTCTTCTCTCACCTGATGCCTTCAGGTCCACATTCTTCCTGTGATAGAAATGACCTTTTTGGCCAGAAGTCCTTTGAGGGCGTGACCTTCCTAGATACTGTCTGTGATGGCACATAGGGCGCTGTGAATTTCCGGCGGAGTACCATAGGCGTGGAGTCTGGCCCCACCCTTCACAGGAGGCCTGTCAGGACCAGCCTCGGCTGCTTGCTCCTTATTAATGGCCCTCTCCTGAGCCCCAAGGCTAACAGATTCTCTCAATACCCCACTGCCTTCCTCAGCCCTGCCCCTCCATTATTCACAGGGGTGTCAGAGGTGATGACAGTGAGGTTACCCACAGCTGAATCTAGTGACGAGTACTTGAAATACGGAAGATAAACATACCTGGTAGAAGACCCCATCCATCCATCTACCCATCCATCCACATAGTCACTTATTGCTAAGTCAAGAGGATAAAACATAACAGAACAACAAAAAACCCTGCTTCCTGCTCATAAAGGGGTTACAATCTAACTAGAGAGGCAGAAAGGAGTTATAATTTTGGCTGCAAGTTGTTCTTCATCCTTAACCATCCTATCTGTAACAAGAGTCATCTCCCACATTGTCGATACTTTTTATTTACAAAGCACCTCCCACAAGAGCTACAAAAGAAAAATACTCTGCACTTTTGCCATATCTAAAACCAAACTGGACCAGATGTACCCTGAGGTCCTGACTGCCCCTGCCCAGGTGGTTCCTAGTATAGGAACTTCTGGGGCCCATGGCCTGCAAATTGACAGCTCCCTGGAGGTGTTTGCTAAGAAGCCAGGAATTTTCAAGGAGGACTTAATGAGCCACAGAGTCAGAGACCTTGGGAACCACCCAAACCAGTGGGCTCCAGCCCTGGCTGCACATTACAATCGTTCATTGAAGGCTTTAAAGGGGAAAATGGCAGGGTCTGGAATCCAATTGAATCAGTGTTTCTTAAAGGCTCCTCAGGTGAGGCCCTTTGTGCAGCCAGGTTGAAAGCCACTGGTCTCACAAACAAGGAGGAAGTTGAGCAGAGAACAGATATCACGTGGCCAAAGCCCCTGCCTTCCCATAATGCCTGCTGCTTCTCCAAGCCTTCATGGAAGGCGATTTCTTTCCAGCGCATCTCCAGAGATGGCTAGGCCCTGCTCTCCCTGGACACCCTGCTCTGTCCCATCCTGAGGACAGTGCCTAGAGCAGACTGGCCCATGTCGTGTCCTTTCCCAAAGTCCAGAGGCAAGGAGACAGGCACTGACAGGTGAGGCCAGGGGCTTCAATCAAGAGAGGGGTTTTTGTCAGGGTAGATTGTGATTGTTTGCCTTAAACAAACAGGACTTGTTCCAGGAAGACATTTGTCTGCATGGGGCAGCAGCGCCATTCATCATGATAGCTCAGGGCTGGGGTCGAGAAGTCACCTTTTCAGGACCCTGGCCCACAGGGAGGGGCTTGAGGGCCGCTCCCCCAGGCCCAGGCTGGAGAAGATGTCAGGAAAGCTAATGAGCCACTGGACAGCTGCAGCTTGTTAAAGAGCGCCTGAGGCCCATTGTAACTGAGACCTTTAAATATACATCGTAGTCAAATAAACAGCATCCTCCCACCCAATGGCCAGTCCCTCCAGGGCCAAGCTGGTCCAGCACAGCCCCGCCCTGCCCACCCAACCCTTCCTGGCCCTCCCAGCACTATCCCCATTCCAAAGGGAAAAGCCCATCCTTCCTGGTCTGGAAGTGATAGACTCTTAACTGGGAGAGGCGGTGTGGCCAGGTTCTCCCACCCTCCCCCTCCTGCCTCCTCTAATCAGAAACAGCTGTATCCCCATCACAGACTGTCACCCTGCATAGGTCCCCCTGGGTATCACAAAATCAGGATGGCACGGGGGTCCCTGGAGAACCTAAGCAGGACACATTTCTTCTGAGTCCGAACCCCTTGGAAGCACTGAGAGCCAGCTTGGAGCACCCAGTCACTGGGGCACCTCTTCTACTTCTCCTCCTCTTAAAAGGTTCCCACCTCTGGAAAGCCTTGCCAGATTTACCTAAGCAGAGCTGGTGGCCTGTTTTCTCCTCTGACTGAAGGTGTGGTGCGTGCCTCTGGGAGCACTCTGAGCCCAGAGGAAACACGGGGTCTCTGTTCCTGGCACACAGAGCTCCTTGAGAGCTGGGACCAGTTTCTGTTCACTCTAATCCCCAGAGACTAGCGTGGTGCTCAGCACCTGGGAGCCTTGCTAAGTGAGTGCTGAATGGACTCCTGGGCTCTGCTCACCCTCTCTAATGGCCTCCTCCATCAGGGCCTGGTTAGGGCCCCGGTAGCACACACTGAGCTGTTGTTGCCCAGCAGCAAGTGGTGCTGGGAGGGAGAAGTCACAGGGCTGTCCCCAGAGTGCTATCTGATGCAGAAGGACACTTTACATCCATTCTAGTGGCAGGACCCTGGCCAGTAGAAGTCTAATTTGAAAGTGGAGCAGCAGATTCAGAAACATAAGACAGGAGTAGGAAGTGGAGACCAGCACTGTCTCTCACCAGAGCACCCCTCACCACTGCCAGCCTCAGTTTACCACTATACTCCCTTACGGGCTCCACTGTGGGTACTACACCTCCCCATAGTGTACCCCACTTCACTGCTGGGTACCCCATGTCATCACAGCTGCCTGTCGCTCTCAGAGTACCCCCTGTCATCAGAGGCTGTGTCACCTCCACACCCAGCTCCACTAGACCACAGGTATTCACCTCCCACAGTGGGCTCCAGCTCCTGCCAGGATGTCACTTCCCCGAGGTGCACCGCTCAGTTTGCCACAGCCTACTTCACCCGGACCCAGCTACAGATTTGGTGTCTGATGTTTGGAGGCCCTGTCTGGGGCCAGCAATCTGTCTCTGCTGCCACCGGGAGTGAGGGAGGAACAAGAGGGGAGAGAAAAGAGAGCCCTGAGGCTGAGCAGCAGAACAATAGGTCATGGGGTCCCTGTGGGGAGGAGCCTTACCCCCCCCAAACAGCCCACAACAGGGGTCAACTGTCAAACCTTCCTGACATCAATCTGCCAAACATCGTGGTTTTGTGCAAAGGTGGGAAGTGACGTCTACTGTACCCCATTCGTTTGTGCAGGCATTGTCTGGGTGGTTTGTAGATATTAACACGGTCAATCTTTATCAGCTCCCGGGGTGGGAGGTGGTATAATTGAACTCACTTCACAGATAAGGAAACTGGAGACTTTGCCAGGGTTGCATGACTTATAAATTGTACTATTGGAATTTGAACCTTGGTCTCCACAACTCCAAATCTGTCACCCTGGTCCACAGTTAGCCCAAAGATCATTATCTTGTGCTGACAGTGGGGGAGACAACACCTACCAGACACAATGGGCAGGTTGGACAGGCTTTGATTCAAATTGAGGAGACTATGGCTAAGAACACATGATTGTGTATCTCAAAAGAGCTAGGAGAAAGAATTGTGTATGTTCCCAACACAAAGAAATGATAAATGTGTGAGGTGATGGATGTGTCACTCACCCAGATCTGGTCTTTACCGATTATAGACAAGTATTGAAATATCACACAGTACCCCATAAATATGTACAGTTCTATGTCAGTTAAAATTTTAAAATATTTCTAAAACTTTACTTAGAGGCATCCTGCCCCAGGGATGATCCAGAGAAAATCAAAGTTGACCATATTTCTCTTTGTCCCAGGCTTAGTTAGGTACAGATATTTTACCTGCACTCAGTACCAGCCAGTTACTGCAGGTGAGCAGACTTCCTGAGCCCCTCACACATAGGTCCTGTCCTCAGGCTCCTTCCTCCCAAGCCTGGATGCCAAGTCAGCTGCTTCAATGTGGCCTTCCCCACGTTCTGGTCTCCTTGACCAGCTGTTGGACTTCCAGTGCTGACACTCAGTTCCAGCTGCTCCTGCCATGATTTTCATGTTCCTGCCTTTAGATCTCTGCAGAAGCAAAATGTCCAGAGTTTGGGGTCATGCAGGCCAAAGGATTTGCCTCTCATCTCTTCCCTGTGCTCCCTCAGCATGGAGACATTGGACACTTCCCATCAGGGACTGGGCCCAAGGCTCAGAAACTCCACAGAGTCTAACACAGTTTCTGGTCTCCAGGGCTGATGGGAACATTGGCATAAATTCCTTATAATACAGAGGCACTCAGCCGACTGGCCAGGTAGGGGTGGAAATTCCCACTCTGCAGAGGTCCTGTCCACTGAGTCAGCCCTGCATCCCTAAGGCTGTGTCTGCCTGGGAAGGGGGTGGGTGAGCTTGTTCCCAAAGTCACATAAAGGTGCTGTGTATGTGACACACCTCACTTCTCTGAACAAACCCAACCTATTCTCTGCATCTTAGCCATCTCTGGAGGGGCAGACTCTCCTGGGTGCTGACCTGACCGCCATGGCTTCTCCGGTACCCTTCTGTTTCTGTCCCCTTTCTATGGTCACCTGCTCTCCACACAGTGTGTTCTTTCCACTTGTTCAAAGCCATCCCTGTGGGAACTTCCGGTGGTGCTCCCCCTACGCACACACTGCTTTCCTCTCTGTTTTTTGGAGGTAATTCCATCCATTTATTTCCAATTTGTTAGAACTGAAACCCGGTACCCACTGAACGCTGACTCAAATTCTCCCTCCTCCTAGTCCCAGTCCCATGAAATCACTTTCTCTCTCTCTGAATTTGACTGTTCCAAACACTTCATGTAAGTGGAATCTTGTAATATCTGTCCTTTTGTGACTGACTTGTTTCATGGAGCACAATGCTCTCAAGCTTCATTCATGTTATAGCCCTTTTTGTGACTGAATAATATTTCATTGTGTGTCTGTAACATGTGTTGTTTAACCCTGTGTCCTGCCATGAACACTTGGGCCGTTTCCATCTTTCGTCCGTTGTGCATAATATTGTGACAAACATCGATGTCACCTTTTTCTTCTTCCTTTTCTTTTCTTTTTTTGGGGGGTGGGGGGCAGGGTCTTGCTGTGTTGCCCAGGCTGGCCTCAAACTCCTGGGTCTAAGCCTTCCCAGTAGCTGGGTCCACAGGTGCACACCACCATGCCCAGCTCCTGGTTTTTTGCATCCTCTTTATCTTCTTTTACTTACTCCTTCCTCTTTGATTGGAAACCCACACAATACTCAACAGCCAGAAAGCCTGAGCTTTCCAGAATAATCCTAGTTTAATAATTCCCCTGACCTTGTGGTCCCCACCAACTATTGAAAAGTCCCAGAGACTCCAGTAAATCTTCTGTCTGAGGCTCATAGTTAGAAAAGACACAAAAATCTCTTATAAGATTCTGCGTTTTTTAGGCAGAAAATGTCATTACTTTAAAAAGTCCCTCCCACGTTTAATCAAGAACGAACATCTTTGCTCAGCCCTGCACCTCCAGGTGCCATCTCTGTCCTTCCCTCTCCTGCCAACCCTCTCTGAGGCTCCGCTTGCCTCTCCCGCTTCCTCACCCCCTGCCATTTTCTTAATGCCCTGCAATCTGGCTTGTCGGAACAACTCGGCTGAATCTGCTCTTGCCAAGGTCACCAATGACTTCTTTTTAAAACAAGCTCCAATTATTGTGTTTCTGGATTATCAAATAGATGCTCATTGTGGGAAAGCTGGCAAGCACCAAGTAGTGCATAGGAGCAGAGAAAGGTCACTTGCCCACAATCACACCAGCCAGAAGCAACCACCGTTAGCACTTCGGCATATTTCCTTCCAGTCTTTTTTCTTTAATCCAAAAAGTTTCTCACTTTCCACAATCCCCATCTTTCCTCATCCCTGAAACACCCAATGCTATTGAATATTCACTTCTTTTTGAAATTCCCTCCTCCAGAGTTTCTACTTCTCTGGTTTCTGCTCCAGTCCCACCAATTGTTTCCTTTGTGGCCTGCTTTCTAATCGAGCCCGGCCAGGATTCAGAGGTGCCTAGGTTCAGTGTCCATATCAGTCCCTGAAAGCCAAATGGAGGTAAACTAGGGCAGACCATTATCTGAAGTCAAGAGTAGATCACGGTAAGCCACCAAACCTCCCAACTCCCACCATCCTCCCTAATCCAGGTATCACCTCCTCTGGGGGTGTTCTGGCTCCCAGGTAGGGAGGGGCATTGCTGTATCCTCTCTACTTCCTGTTTCCTCCCAGTGTGCTATCCATCCTTGAAGTGCCTAGATCACTACCTGGACTTACAGTGACACCCTTCTGGCTGGGTCCCTCTCTAAACTGTCAGCCTCTGAATAGCAAGGACATTCATCTTCCCCTTCCTGATCCCAGTGGAAAACCCAACAGCCAGCTCTGAGGCCCAGAGTGAGGAGGCCAACATCAACCACTTACAAGCAGGCTTAAGGGCCACTAAGCTCCAGGCCTAGGGAGCTCCTGGTCCCAAGTTCTTTCTACAGTATCAAATTGGGACCCTGTACTGATGCAGCAAAAGGACAGATTATGGTGCATCCACCAGGAAACACCTGACCCCCAGACACAACAGAGCAGTGCAGGGACTGGTAAGAAAGGTGAGGGAAAACAGAGGCAGGCTGACCTTCGTTTGAACCTGGCATGGTGAGCAGACAGACCTTATTGTCCCACCACCCACCTCCCCGAGAGAGATAATCCCCTGTGACTCAGTAAAGTGTCCAGGTTAGGACTCCATCATCCCCTCACTGAAATTTCACCTAGGATGCACTTCCTTATGCATAACTCAAGCTCTCTCTTCCAGACATTTGAGCCAGATAAATAGGAGAGGCCCAGGGTTCTACTGGCTACACAAAGAGCAGACAGAGTTCAGAGAGGGAGTGCACATCTATGACCAGGAGTCCAGGAAAGAGTAATGGAAGAAGAGATATCAGAGCTCAACTCAGTCCTTAAGGGTGAGTAGGGTTTGACTTGAAAGAAAAATGCAAGAAGGGAAGCACAGGCAAGAGTTAGTTCGTGACACTGGAAAATGTCAGTCTGTCAATCGCCTACTGGGGTAAGGCTCCTGTTCTCTAAGGACACTCTCAGAATGACGCCAGAGGCACCTCCCAAACTTGAACGCTCCAGTACCACACATGGGGACTGCCGAAGATGAAACAAACTGAGCTGGAAATCCTGGTTCCAGGTTATGTCTCTGAGTCTGTTTCCACATTCTACAGCGAGGATAATGATACCAACCTTGGGAAGTTGTTGTAAGGATTAGAATGCTATGTGTGCAGTAGCTGCTCAATACGCAGCACCAACCTCATTGTTAGTACTATATTAGCACTATTTTGAGAACTACCATTTCAGCTCTGGGGAAACAGCCCAGTGATTAGAGGGACCGAACTGGGTTTTCCCACTTTCACCTCTGACCCCAACCCTCCTCAGTCACTTCTGATTTGCTGTGGTGGTGGTGGGGAATCAGAAGACCTGGGTCTTTATTCCACAACGAAGAATTTCAATTCAGCGTCTCCATGTGTAAAATGGAGCCAGGAACACTTACCCCGTAGGATTGTTGGGAGGATTCCTGTGTGTTAGAACTCCTGCCGGCACACCCCAGGTGCTCGGTCAACCTTCTGGAATCCCTTGCCTTCTTCCCACCCTCCCAGGGCCCAGTGTGGGGTCCAGGGCTGGGCTGTGAGTCTGAGTTGCTGGGTGGTGGGGTGGGGTGGGGTAGCGTCAAGTGCCCTAGATGAATGCATAAATAACCAGCCATCCTGGTCTCCCTTCAAAAGTCCTGGTCTCCAACCCTTTAATCATGAAGCTGCTCTTCCCTGGCCACCTTCCAGGGCCCCACCCGCCCACTTCCCATGCAGAGAAGGGCCCAAGGAAGGAGCTTTGGGTCTTCCCAGCTGCCTGGTTTGCATGGCATGCTCCTAATCGATCCCAGGAAGCCAGGGGCCTGCCTCTCGGCTGCCTCACCCCATGCCCAACATCCTTCACCCCACACAACTCCCCTCAACCTCTCAGGCTTGGCTCTGGTTCCCCACCATCCTGTCTCCTCAATCTTTGACCAGGCCTGCCCTTCAGTCCTGCCAGGCAGAAAATGGGTTTGTCAGGACAGTGTCCTCCTCTCCATGGGGACCACATTACATTGTATGAGCCCAAGCATCAGTCCCCAAGGCCGATGGTTCCATGCGTTCTCGTGGGACAATGGAAACCTAATATTAGAAAGTGAGCCGGTCTTGGAAAATCCAGGACATGTGTTTGCCATGTTGGTTTCCAGCCCCTCATCACTGAATGCGATCCTCTCTTTATGCAAGGCGGAGTATTCCTCTGGGACAGGGAGTGAGAAGCATGTTGGGGGTAGGGAGAGGGATTGCATATGAAATCACATTTGGCAACTTGAGTCGTATTTTTTAATGCTCTAATGGAGTTGGCTTCTTGAATCAGTGATTCTTTTTCATATGGGAATGAATTCATATGGGAAAGAGTTCCAATAGAAAGAGTTATTTTTAGACTGGGGTATACTGGGTTTGCTTAAACGGAGGCGCACCACTATTTACTGTGCAGCCCTTTTGTCTGAGCTTTCCTTCTCTGAGTTTCCTTGATACTGGAATTCAGCTGCCAGTTCTGCAATTTGCATTCCTCCCAACAGAGGCGCGGCTGTGGGACAGCCGGGCAGAGCAGGCAGCACTTGGCCTTTGCTCCCTCCCCTCAGAACCCCTGCTCCTCTGCTTCCCGCCAGGTGACCTTACTTGCACTACCGTAGACTGCTGAGCTGGGTGGAGTGAGGGAGACCCTGGCTGGGGGGTGAGGGCAGCAATATTCTTCCCCAGGAGAAGGGGCGGGAGGATTAAATCAGGTCACACAGTCCATGAGATTCCCTCCCCCCAGGTTTTGCATTCAGAAGTTCTTAAAAAGTAACATCTGCCAGCTTACGGAACACATCTGTCTGTTCCCAGCACACCATTAGGCTCTGCAAACCTGAGCACATCCTGCTTTTGTAAATCATCTTCACCCAGGGCTCCCCTCATCCCAGATGAGCTCCCCCCTCCTGAGTTCTGAGCTCTGGCAGACAATGAAGCTGTGGGATTAGAGCCAACCGAAGTACCTTCTTGAGAACCCCCTGCAGGTCATACTTCCCTGCACCCAGGCCTGGCTAGCCCAAGGCATTCTCAGAAGTCACAGGTCCCAGAATCTTAGAGCTAGGAGGACTCTAGAGACACTTACACCTCCAGTTCCCTGTAATGCAAAAGGAGAAACTGAGGCCCAGAGAGGCACCTCTTCCTTAGGGTCACAAGGCTGGTTAACAGTGGCACTCCTCCTGAGCGGGAGATGCCTGTGACATGGAGAGTCCTCCCTCCCGCTCTCCTGTCTCCCTCCAGAGGCTGCTGGTCTGGCCGCCCTGAGAACCTGCGTTCCGTCTGGGCAAGCAGTGTGTCCCTCGCTAGTCCACGCCCAGAGCTCTGAGTAAGTGGTGTTGGCTGATGGCTAACAGCATTCTTCACAAAGAAAGGAGATTGAAAAAGAGCCCTGGAAGCTCCTGGCTTTCCATCCTTGTCTTTGGGAGGCAGTGTGGTGCCGAGAAAGAATGCCGACCTGGGGCCAAGAGGCTTGGGTTCTGGTGGAATGCAAGGAGCTCACATATACAGAGTGACCAATACTGAACCCAGCATGTGGCAGGTGCTCCAAAGTGGAGCTCGCTCTCGGGAATGTCAGTCCTGACTCTCCCACTCTGTGACCTCCGTCTCAGAAATCTCTGTTATCTGGAAAGTGGGAATAAATACACATCCCAGCCCATCTCCCAGGGGAGTCATTTCCTGCAGGGACCTCACAGGGCTGCAAAGACACCTGAGGGATGAGATGAGATTCCTTTACTTTCAACGCCAAGATGGGAATTCCAGGTTGAGGGAACGAAGGCAATAGTAATTCTGGGAACTATGAGACAGAGAAAGAAGGTCCTTTGCACTGGCCACCAAAAGTCCTGGACCGGCTATGTGAACCCTGTGGACCCTCACTTCCTCTATTGTCACCTGAGGGTGGTTCCGGAGCCCCTACTGCTTGCCCTGTAATCCTAGCACAGCCTGGGGCTGTCTTATCTTATCATGACTGCAGGTATGGAGAAGCTGAGGTTAAACCCCAGGCCGTGGCCGGCTCCCTGTGTCCAGGTCTTTGAGCTCCTCCACGATTCCAGAGAGCTACTCACACCCCTATCTTTCACCCTTCTCAGCTCCCAGGATCCTATTCCCCTGGAAGGACTTCCAGAAAGTCACTACCCCTGACAAGACTCAGATCGGCTCCTGGACACGAATGACAGGGGTTTGTGACACCTCAGAAATCGAGTACAAGCCTGTGTGTGCATAGGTGTGCATGAGCACACAGGGACTTTTCTAAGGAGTGGCCTCCAGCTCTCATCAAGGAGGGATGTGCCCCAAAAGGTTGGAAGCTCCCATTCATTCATGTCCCTCAGCCCTCCCACTGTGGACAGCCCCCTGAACTCCAGGTGAGAATGTGGCCACAGGCCCCGGGTAGGGGCTCAGAGACTGCAAGTGGTCAGGTGCAGGGTGCCCCTACCCCTCCCAACAGACTCCAGGCCCTGTGCAGGCTGTTTCTCCTCTACCCACCATGGAGCTGGAGCTCTGGGCGGGCTCCAAGGTCCAGCATGTCTGGATGGCCACGCAGAGAGAGTGTGGGGTCTGGGCTTCGGGAGGCATCCGGGTGGGGCTGTTGCTAGACGAGCAGCTGGCCCTGGTCTGCGAGTGCTGACAGAGTAGAGCAGATCTGCCCTTCCTCCTCGGGTTTGGGCAGATGAGGAGTGAGTGACAGCAGCAGGTCCAAGCCAAGTGTCCTGATGGGGCTCTCAGGCCTCTTCAGCCACCATGGAGGCCCCGGAAATACCGAGGCTGGGAGGGGACCCGAGGGGGACAGAGGCCTAACCTGCTATCTCTTGGGTCTCTGCCTGGTCGTCCTTCAAGCTCTTCAAGCCGCCCTGACTGCCTCACCCCTTGCTACCATTAAACCCCTGCCTCTGCCCTGGCCAGGCCCTGAGCTTCCTCTCCTATCAGACTCCAGCACCATACTCAGAAAGATCTTGTATGTTTTTCAAATTAATGCAATTAAGAGCATTAACGTTTGCAAACGATAGAGTTTTTCATTTTCCTTTTATTTGATTAGAGAAATTCCCAGCGCACAGTTCCTCCAAATGAAACCCAGACCTAGGGCCCATTGTTCCGAGGGCTTCCACGAGAATGTGTTACCTTTCAATCTCACGCACTAATGTGTTCAGCGTTACAGCCCCCCTCCCCGCCCCCCGGGCGGCTGCAGGAAGGATCTGGAGTCTTGATTAAAGCGGCCTTTGCCGGGCGGGAATGTCGGCTCCTCCACCCGGGAGTCACAGAGTGGCTGGCTAGGTGTTCAGAGGCAGAGCCTCCACTCAGAGCTGGGCTCTGCAGCAGTTGTGCCTGGGTGTGATTAGGTGTCTCCCCTCTTCTGTGGCCTTCCCTCTGGACCTCCTGCACAACTATCCTTAGCCGCAACACACATGTGCACACCCTCCGCTCCCTTCTGTCTTCTCTTTATTGCTCCCCCTCTATTTCCTTCACCCTCTCTTCTTCTCACCTTCTGGTCCCCACTTGCCCCCTGGGCTTTGTGGCAGCCTCCTTCTAGTCACCTGGTGCAGAGGTGGCCTGCAAGACGCCATGCTGCTCCTCCCTCGGTCAGGCCCAGAGCACCAAGGTGAAGAGCAGAATTCGAGCCAAAGCTAAACATTGATTAGAGGAATATGTAAGGAAGGCCTGGGAGAGGGAGGAGGGAGGGTCGTAACCCCTGTTAAAAAATTCAGCTAGTGCCAAATTTAAACAGGATGTCAAATCTACACCCCTCCCGCCCCAAATCACCAAAGGCTCAGCACTGGGAGGCCCAGGTTCCTTCCTCTTCCAACTGGGGTGGCTGGTCCAGGCCCCAGGGTAGCCAGTGCCCTGGGACAGGAAGCTGGTGGGACTTCCCTGCCCCAGTCGTTTGTGTCCAGCAGACCTCTAACAATCCATGCTAGGGTCCTCAGGGATGCCACCACGACCTGGCCCAAATTAGGCAAAACTGAGAAACAACTGGGCTTATGAGCTAGGATCCAAACTTAAAATAAAGCCTGTCAACTCTCAGAAGCTGCTCTGGCTACTCCCAGGTCCCGTGGAGTCAGGAGAACTAGGGAGGGAAATGTGATCCCTCCTCACCCCCACCCCAAGCTGCCTGACCCTGCTGCACTGCCAGGTGCCTGAGAGTCCATCTGCAAACAGCGCAGTCACCTACACCTTGCAAAGCAGAATGGGCACTGACGGGAGTTCAGAGAGAGGTCTACTTCTCCCCGGAGTGGTTAAAGAAGTGGGGAGCCTAAAGTCTTCCAGTTGACCCTTGCAATGCCATTCTCTTTTGGAGGTGAGTCCTTCTTCCCCAAGCCCCTCCTGGATCAGTGAGGACCATCTAGATTTTTGGACAGAAGACTGAGGAAGGGGCTTGAGGCTGAGGAGGCCTTCACTATACTCTCCCCCTGGCCTCTGCAGAGCCCACACCTGGCAGTTCCTGTGTGTGAATCCCAAGCAATCCACACGTTCAGGTTTGATTTGCCCTGTGGAGAAGCTTGGAGACCCCAGAGTGGAGGCAGTGATGCCAATGTCTACTTGAGTCAAGGAAGATGGCAGCCAAAGTAAAGCTATGGTGTTGGGATGGGGAGAAGTGGGAGGCCTGGAGGGATGACTCAACTGGGTCCTGGGCCAGTGTCCCATCCAACTCCTTGGAGCTGCTCCCTCATTTATTCTATTCAACCTGAAGGGAGGAAAAGAACCCCACCATGTTGGGCTGGGAAAGCTGAGGGACTGATCCTCGAGGCTAAGTGAGGGAAGTTCACCATCCCTGTGTCTGCACGGGCACTCACTGTGGCAATGCTTGCCTGATGAGATAAATCCACCTACACCTTTAAGCTGCACCTCCCCACACAGGGCCCAGAAGGTCTCACCCTTGGATCAGTCCCAGGGTTCTGCCAAAAACATCTGCCAGGGCCAACAGCCCCCAGGGAGCAGATACATAATGTGAACTGCATTTGGACGGGGAAGGCAGCAGGAGGGAATCTGGACTGTAGTGGAAATTGCTCAGGAATTTGGCTTCATGTCTCAGTTGATTCTTCCTAGACAATCACCTTAATGTGGGTACCTCCTGGTTACCCAGGCTTCAGGGAAGATTGGGAAGGGGGGCGGATCATCCCAAAGGTGAATAATCCAGAGACTGTGTCTGATTATTCCTGTTGAACTTTGCCAATTGGCTTTTTTCCCCCCCTGCTGGGAAACTTGCTTCCCTAAGCAGGATTTTCTTTGACTATTTTTCAAAATTTACTCAGGATTTCCAGCCACGAGCAATGCTTCCTCCAAGATGACCAGGCTGGGCTTTATCCCGAGCTCCGTTCAAACCACACAGACAGCAAGCAGGGGTGCGGAGATGCAGTCCGCTGAGCTGGCCCTGGGGCCAGGCACCCTTCTGGAGGAGTCGGACAAGCCCCACAGTGAAGAAACTACCAGCCAGGGCTCTAGTCCCTGGGACCGATCCCCACCCGTGCTGTCCGGTCCATTTTGGCTTACTTTGCAGACATGGTCACAGACGTACTAAGCCTTTCAAGGTGGCTTGGTAAGAAGAGTAGGCTTGGATTGTACGGAATCAGAGTGAGGGGTGGTGGCCCAGGTGAAAGGCTGGCTCCCAAAAAGATGGGAAGTTTGAGTCTGTTTTCCACTGCCAAGAGTTTTGGAAACCTTGGGTTCATCTAAGCCAGCACCCTGGAGAGATGCCAGCACAGAGACCCTGGACCTTACAGGGGGTCCAGGACCTTACAGGACCCGACCCTGCAGGAGCCAGAGCCTTTCCCTGGGGTCCAAAAGAAGCTGAGGGAGAGGCACGGGTCCCTCATCTGTGCCTGCGCCTGCGCACGTCATTCTTGTCCCGCTCATGGTCCAAAAGGCTCTGCAGCAAAGATTCATCTGTTTCAATTTTCATGGAAATGAAGCATTTTATCTCAGAACACAGGGGGAAGAGTGAACTCCCATTCCTTAATGCAGATGGACTAGATCCCTTTTCACTTTCTTACTTTAAAAAGGGAAATCCGAATGCTGCTGCCATTTGCTCCGTTGGATGCCGGCTGATAATTCCGAAAGCTAGGCGAATAGATCCAGAGCCAGGTTCCTTGCCGCAAGCCCGCCTGGCGCCACCCGAGCTGCCACAGCCTCCGACTGAGCTGGGCCGGGAAGCAGCCTGACAGAGGAAAACGAAGGCCTTGAGAAAGAGGCCTGGAACGCTGAGTCCAAAGCCTGGTGTCCTCAGGAAGGTTTTGGGAAACAGTGTCCAACCCCAGCCTGCAGTGCTGTGGTCAGCCCACAGGAGCCAGCCATGGATCTGCTCCGGCTGCTCGCGCCCTGCCCGGCACTCAGCAGCAGCCCTGCTATCAACTGACCAAGCCCGGACTGCGCCGGGGGTTCATCTGCAATCCTCACTGAAGATCCTTGGGCTGAGTGTGGCCCCATGTTACGGACTAGGAAACTGAGGCTCAGAGAGCTTAGGGTCCACACAGCTTATTCATGGTAGAATCAAGAGTTGAATCCACATCTTTGATTTCTCAGCCTGTGGCCTGCATTTCTACACTAGGCCATGAGTGACTCAAGTTCCAGCCCACTCTATCAGGCTTCTGTGCTCTGCTCCTTGTATGGATAGTATAGTTCAGCTCCATAAATATGCCCTATGCCTTCCTGCCTTCTGGACTGACTGCTTTACCTTCCCTGCCCCTCAGCTTTCCCTCCAACTTTGCCATTTTACACTGATTCTGTCTGCACAAAAACACTCTTCCTACCCTCTTCCTGGCCCCCTTGGTATATAGTTCTCCTTCATTGTTCTTAAAGTACGTCCCCAGATCAGCAGCCTCAGCATGAGCTCCTACGCAGGACCTGCTGAATCAGACACTCTGGGCACGGAGCCCAAGGATCTGTTTTAACAAGCCCTCCGGTGAGTCTGATGCACGACAAGCTTGAGAACCACTGGGCTCCGTCCCGCTTCTCCAGACCCCAACAAGTCTTGGTGACAATTAAGGGTAAGCTTAGCTCTTGTTGTGGTCTTGATGAGCTCTCCTCAATGGGTATATTATGGAGGGATCCTAAGTGGCTAATAAGGAAGGGGATGAAAGTCGGTTTTGGCTTTTGCTGCTGTTCCCAACCCCCTTCTTGCCATCCTGCTCTGGAGCAGCTGACAAAAGTGACCATTATCATCGTCCTCTCAGAGCCAGCTTTGATGCCCTCACTTATTGCCTCCCTGACTCGGATGAAACCTGAGTGCAGTCTCTGCACAAAAATCACCCAGGACCATCAGAATCCAATCTCAAAGAACTTCTCCAGATTTTTGTACCTGAATTGCCTGTGTGGCTCCCTCCTGGCCTTTTCCCTGAGGGGTCTTATCAGCCCACAGCCCAAGCCCATTTGTCCTGAAGGTGAAATCTGACAACTCTACCCTTCCCAATGAGATCTCCAACTCTAATTATGGTGTTGTCTATTTCTCCCTTTAAATCTATCCTTTATGTTCCTTTAAATCTGTTTCATGTATTTGAAACATTGGTATTAGTTGCATATGTGGTTATGATTGTTTTCCCTTCCTGATGAATTAAAATTTCTGCCATTATAAAACATAGCCCTCTTTCTCTGGTAATACTCTTTGTCTTGAAGTCTACTTTATCTGATATTAATATAGCCTCTCCAGCTTTTGAAATATATATCATTTTTCATCCATTTATTTTCAACTTGTGTCTTTATATTTAAAGTACATCTCTTGTAGACTGCAAATAATTAGGTCTTTTAAAAAATCTAGTCTGACAATCTTTGCCTTTTAATTGGAATGTTTGGTCCATTAACATTTAATGTAATTATTGATATGGTTGAATTTAGTTTTATTTGCCCCCTCTGTTTTTTATTTCTCTGTTCCTTCTTCCTTGTTTTCTTTGGGATTTTTAGAATTCCATTTAACTTTATCTATTGGATTTGTAGCTATACCTCTTTGCATTAATTCTTTAATGATTGCCCCAGGGATTACAATACATCCTTAACTTTTAACGGTCCACTTAGAGTTACTATTTCAAGTAAAATGTAGAAACTTTGCAGCTACAGAGGTTTATTTATCCCCTACTCTTTATGCTATAGTTATCATATGTATTACATCTACATACATTATAAAACCCACAAGAAAATGTTATAATTTTTGCTTTAAACCACCATGTGAATTTCAGAGCAATTAAGAGGTCTTATTGCCAAAGGGAATCTCATAATTAGGGGAGGCCTTTCTCAGGAATCTGATTCAGCTCATGGTCCATAAAGGGAACCTAGATCTTTCAATGTACAATCACTCCCTTCAAGTGAAGGTGAGTTTTGGGGCCACAGGACAGAGCCACAGCTGATTCACCCTTAATAGTGACTTAATCTGTCATCAGATCTCCTGAGACCTGATCATCCCAAAGTCCTTTTCACTATTTCCCACAAGTCCTTGGCATTCAGACCTGAGGATCCAGAGTGAATATGCAGAGTAAGCCTCACCAGTGTCCTGTCTGCCTCTGCCTCTCTCATGGAGCACTGTCATATTTTTGCTGGTTGTCTTTTCCCCACCCCTCCTCCTAGGTTATAATGCTGAGGGTAAGGATCTGGTTCAAGACATAGAAAGTACTCAGACAATGCTGTTGAATGAGCACATGAGCCCCATGTGTGTTCCCTGGCCCCTCGGAGGGTGCTGGGGTACAGAAGGGAGAGTGTCAGAAGAGAAGGCAGTGCATGTGTGTCTGTCTCTGGAGTGGAGGGAAATTGTTTCCAGGGGTAGGAAGTATAGCCAAAAACATCACTGCAGGTTGCTGAGGGGGTCACAGAGAGCTCAGGGTTGACTCTGATGAAATGTAGACGTGGGAGTTGAGAACGGGAAGGCTCCAGAGTGGAGCAGGGAAGGCTCCCAGGCCAAGATGTATGGGTGGAGCCAGGATTTTTAGCATGCTCACGTGTACCTGGAGGAAGTGTGTGCTGGGCCACCCAGAGCTGCTGACACTGCAGCCTGGAGGGCTGAAGCTTTTTAGAGAAACCATTAGTCTAGTGACAAGGAGAAGAATGAAAAAGCCACCAGGGCCTAGGTAAGCACAGGGCTGGTCTTTGGGGCTGCAGCCCTCATTGTAAGGGACAAACGAGGTAATCCATCTGGATATTTCTAGGAGGCACGTGGGGGACAGTGTGTGGGCATGAGGCTGATCAGAAAAGGCCCTTTGTCTTGGAAGAAGAGGCCTTGAGATGGTAGCTTAATCCAAGCCTCAGAAGGAAGTAGGTCGAGGGGCTCCCCAGGGTCAGCACAGAGGAGGCGGCCACCGCTGGAAGGAGGTGAAACTGGGAGTGCCTCTGAGTCATGCCCTCAGCCTGTGCCAAGCTAATTGAATAACATGAGACCTGCAATACCTAATTCCATATGAACTGTGATAATCAAGTAATGGGGCAAACTCTTGCATGTGGCTTGTAGAAAAGCTGAGGAGGAGGAGAGTCGGAGCAAGAACAAGCCACAGCACGTTTCAGCCCATAAGATCCAGTTAGCCAGTCTGCCAGGCACTGCCAGTGGGGGTGAATGGAGTGCCTGTTGTTCCAAGGCAGGGGGAAAATGAGTGACCGTTATTTTGAGTGAGGGATTTATATCCAACCTGGTGTGAGGTTAAACAAATCTGCAAGTGAGACCTGACCTGTTTTAATAACCTAAAGTGTTTTGGGCCCACACCAGGACCGGGGGGAAGGCATGACTGCTTATGAGACCTGCTGTATGCACATCCCCATGGCAAGCTGACCACAAGGAGGGTGACACTGCAGCTTTGTAGGCACTAAAAACTCAGGGCATTGTGCGATGTCTAGGTTACTGGAATTTCACTATTTTACAGCACAGAATAGCTGGCTCTTCACTGCATGAAACTTCTCTGGGACACCATGTGGTCAGCATGACTATAAAAACCTCAGCACTAGGCCTTCCATTTGGTTTCTGGGGATTCAAGCCAAGCCAAGTGTGAATCCTTCCCCCCAAGGAAATGCCAGAGTATTGGGAAATGTGTTTTCTCTCAATCCAGTCCAACTGCAGCTTCCCTTACCTACATCCAGGGTGACTGCCATTTCTAATTGATTAAGCACTTGGGCAAACTAGATCTTTGCAGAATTCAAAGCAAATTCAAAGAAATCCTGAAAGCCAGCCTCCTTTGGGAGGTCTTCTTCAACCAGGGAGTATGGAGGCCATGGCCCCAAACCTTCCTCTCCAGTGATGGTCTCTTGGCTCCTAGTCAAATGTGCTGAGCTCTTTCTTGGCTGGAGCAGCTGATGCAACTCTTTACGGTGGCCTGGCTTCTCTGCTCCCTCGGGTGGACAGCAGGCCTAATCCCAGTCTTTATGAAATGGGTTGCTCACCTCTGGGGGATTGTCTGGGTGTAGCAAGACCTGGTCAAGATCAGCTGGACAGGATGTCCCTTCCTGAGCTCTACAATGTGAACAGTTCTCCCCAGACACTTGGAAGCTTAGCCGGATCCATCTTGCTTAAGATTAAGTGGGGACTTTAAAACAAAGGGACTCCTGAATTCTGTGTGAAGAGCCAAATCACAGGAAGAGTCAACTACAACTGCATTACAAAGCTAAAGTGAGCATTTTGCCTAATGGCAGGTGTATAACATGGCTGTCTTTTCTTTTTCGAGCAGCCCAGCTCTGCTGCCCCAGGTAGGGACAGAGGGGACTGCATGCTATCCCTGGACCTCCGTAGTCTCCCCACGTTGTCAGTTTCCATTCTCTTCATCAGCCCAAGTTGCAGGGGCCTGGAAACCCCATTCCTATTCACTACCTGATGGTTATATTGTAATGCTCGGCCGCATGGTTGGCACCAGGCTCTTGAAATTGTTCCTGCTGCCAATTTC